ACAAAAAAAAGATCCATTTATTCTCAATATTTAGGTATAAAGTTTAATTTCAATACCACAAAGTACTTATCAAAATATTAAGTAGATAAATTAAATTTCTGTAAGTTTATATCAACATAATACCTACAAATTCAGAAAATTTAAATTTTATGTATTCAATCATTTGATATACATTTTTACATTGAAATTCAGAATTATCTGGAGATTTCATAAAGTTTTCTTATCTGCATGAGTTTTATCAAGATTATTAAATTTCTTTTAAACATAAATATTCTAAAATAAACATAGTTTTGGTCTAACGATCGTCTTGGCAAGCACAAATAAAAAAGAAAGAATTCTATTTTAAAATTATAAAAGGAATTACATTACACATACATTGAGTAGTTTTACACTGTCACGAACATACACTACATACCGTAAGTTGTTTTTTCGTTACTGTGAGTAACGAAAAAATAATTTAAATTAAAAAAAGGTTCTCTAGTATCACATAATAAATTATTTAGTAAATTATTGGTTTCTAAAAACATATAGGTACCCTTATATGTGTCGAACTACCTACACGGCGTATAATAGTTTTGAAAAAACCCTGTAGAAGTTAATAAAACAATGGAAATATCAATTTTAATCGTTTCTTATGAGTATACACTAATAAAATTAATTTAAAAGTAATAACCAATAGTATTAATAAACGGTGTTTCATTAATTTACAAATTAATTTTTCTTAATTTACTTCACAATGTAAATAAATCGATTTCATTTTTTCTCGGTTGAATGTTATTTAAATACTGGAATTTGTTATAAAACCACATGAAGTGTTCTTTTCCATTTTGGTGATCTATACATTATCGACTTGGAAGGCACATTTTATAAGCGTGCCTAGTAGCCAAATGAACGCGTTTTTTGTAGTGGCAGATGGTTTTGGCCGATAACAAATGTTTTTCTCCGACCTCAACACTGTAACAATAATAATATCTAGTCCCAGATGTATTGTAAGTATTGACGGAAAAATAAAAAGACTCAAATTATGAAAGGCCCATTGTCCGCCATACCGCTGCGGATCTAACATAAAAGGCACCAAAAACCCTTTCGTTCGGTAGCGTACTTATTTTCCTGTGAAAAATATAAGTATGTATGTGTGCCGTTTATATTATTCTTCTGGCGAGAATAATAACCCTACCGAGTCGTGTTACCGGGTCCCCGTAGTTTATCCCAGACGCCCCCGTGCGTAGCTCTCACATTTTTCGAAAAAGTATATTCACATCCTCAACACCTAACCCTTTCGCATTGTACGTGCGCCAGTTATGTTTCTACGCGAATATACGTTTGCAAGACCAAAAAAGGGATCCAAAGATTAATCTTTGCGTTTTGCTATGCGTATAATATTAGACATGTGTGTTTTCCGAAAATGGCGATTGTGTTTACCTGCCAATTAAGAAACGTCCAAAGAGAATAAATCTGTTTTCAATGATTACGCACTGAGATGTGCTAACCATACATACACGTACCAGAAATGTTCGGTCGAACCGCTTCTTTCATGAAATTGTACGCCAATACTAAAAAGCATCCGAGTAGTCTGTCGCACAAAAGATGAACCGCACGTTGTGTCCGTGTTAGTTGAAGTGTGTGCGGAAATCAAGAGGTGATTTTCGAACGGCAATTAGGCGGAAACCGAAATGTGCGACAGACCGAGAAATAACAATGAACTCTAGTGAAATATTGCAATAATTACCCCAGCGGGCGATGTTTGTCGTAAAATGTCACCGCTCAGAAATAAGACTATTGAAAATAAATGCCTCGGGATTTTATTATTGTCCACGTCTTTTACGCGCAATGATTTTCCACGTGTTGTGCAATTTTCAAAACGGTATTTGCACCGCATTATTTGCCGCCGTGCGGTACACTCGGCTGTCAACTGGTTTACAGCAGTCGGCGGTATGCGCACACATCGCAGGGGCGCCGCAGCGGACACGTGCGCCCGTCGCGCATTCAACGATAACAATTATTAAAAAAAATTACAATATTTTTAATGGGTTTCTGTATGGGAAAAGTGTCGCGATCGTATGCAAGTGCAACGTGCAAGGTCGGCTGGACGCCAACGACTTTACATATTTATCGTTGTGCGTTTTACTGCGACACAAACTCGGGTTTGCCGGCATCGCAGTTATGTGTGCACGGCAACGGGGTAACTGACGGCGCACGGCGAGTGTCCACAGTGGTCAGGCACGTTCTGCACATTAGCTGGTGTACGGGGCAGTTGCACTATTAAGGACTAAATTAAAAGTGCCGGTTGCACGGTGAACGCGAGACACACTTCGAAATGCAAAACGTGCTCTGGACTACATTTGAGCTCGTAAACCGAGAAGCAGTCGTATTGGTAATGTTATTATTCAAATAAAATGTGCCCCACACCAGTCTGTCGGTATTCCTGTAACGTGTTGGCTCAAAGTACTCACACGAGTTGAACAAATAACAGCGTAGTACGTAATTTAATGGCGTGCGCACAAAAGACGGACCTACACGTACAAAATACTTGTAGTTCGATATTAGCACTTCGTATTCGAAATTTAATTGATTCAATAGTATTAAAATGGTCATAATTCAAAATGGCGATTGCAAATACTAATAAACGGACTGAAATCTCAGTAGATGGATATATCATAGAACAGGTCAACCATTTCGGCTACTTAGGGCAAACGATCACGGATGGTGCAAGATGCAAAACGGAAATTAGGAGAACAATTGGCGAAGATTGCGTTTTACGAACAAAAAAACATATCCTACTGTCAAACAAGATAAACATAACACTCAGAAAAAGGATACTGAAGACATAGACACACAACAAAAATTGAAGAAGAATCGATAAAAGCATTTAAGACGTGGTGCTATCGACGTATGTAAAAGATTAACTGGGTAGACAGAATATCAAATGATCAAGTACTACAACAAGTAAATGAGCAAAGGACAATGAAAGATAATATAAAAACGAGAAAATTACAATGGCTAGGACATGCTCTAAGACATGATAGTCCTATACAAGTAGTACTTGAAGGAATAATACCAGGGGAAAACGAAGAGGAAGCCCTAGAGCAAATTTTATATCAAAGGCATGTGGAGAACTGGACCTAAAATATGTTGATATTAAAAGGAAAATAGAAGACAGGAAGGAATGGAGAAGAATTGTAGAAAAGCAACACCAGTCGTTGAAGACCTAAAGAAGAGAAGAATTTAAAATAATTTTTTTCTGAAATTTTATATTATTTAGTCTTCTCGTAAAAAAAAATCGGGTTTGTTTAGGAATATCCAAAATTACGTCATAATAGTATTACATAAATTATTTTCAAGCACAAGCCCCGAAAGTCAAAAACAAAAGCTATTTAGTTCGAGCTTTATTTTCCTCCTTAAAGTGTTTTCGGAATATCGATATCGTCAAAATTAAGAAAAATATTCTTATTATATAGTTGCTCATCACAAATGCACCTAATAGTTCTTACTTTATAAAGATACATTTTTAATTTAATGATTAAAGAAAAATTGAAAAGATAATTAAATTCACCAAAAGAATACAATTTTAAGTTTGAAGACATAAATTAAAAAAAAAGCAATCCGATGAAAAAATTCAACAACTTTATTTAAGAAAAATGTATAAAAAAAAAATATATTCTTAAAAATTTGATTTATTTTTAATTAAAAATATATTTAAATTATTAGTTTAAAACTAAAATGTATTTAACGTTAAACACAGTACGCGTTTAGCGTTAATGGTAATAATGGTAACATCCATCTTGAAATCATAAATGCGATTTTTTATTAATTTTTGTGGTTTTTTTGGCCACAAGTGATTAACTTCTTATTATATAAGGTTTTTTCTAAAAAAATACTTCCATAGAAATTATATCAGTGTTAAAAAAACGCATTTATTTGAAAAAATTGCTAACATTTTAATAATAAATATTATGGAAGAAAACCTAAACTAAACCGAATTACAGTATGTTAAAAACTATGAATAAAGTAAAGAATACACACTGATGGTGACTTTAATCACTCAATTACTTTCAATAATCATTATTAGATTTTCTTTTTAGTGGTTAACAAAATAATCAAACACTAGTGGCGTTCATGATTTTTGCACTGAATATCTACTCATAAGAAAAAAAAATTCAATTAAAGTAAAAGTATATCATTAATTATTTTTACTTTCAACCATTTTAATAATTTAATGTACACGGGTAATAACACCTATCTTCCGTCCGGAACATACCCTTAGAAGCAGTAGCGTAATTAGGGATTTATCTTTAGTGGATATACATAAGAAATATTTTCATTAGTCCCTGTATATAAAAAAATTGTATCTTCACTGTGTAACTATTTTTGTCGTATGGGAGATATGACTTCCATATTGTCCGTAATTACCCAAGTGCATGCTGGACATGACGATGATAGTGTTTGATTTAAATGTTTGTTTCACTTTTTTACCAATCATATGTCATATAAATATATAAAAAATTATAATTTTCTATAATAGCTCACCGGAATAAAAATAAATACTGTTTTTTTTGGAAGTGGGACGTCTACCCTATTAGTTGTTAATATATTACTAAAAAATAATATCACTTATATTTAAGATAATTATGCTATTATTTAATATAAATGCCTAAAGGTCCATAAAAATGAATATTGGGAGTAATGCTCCCCGTGGAAAGCCCTTTATCAGTTCTTGATTGTCGGTATACAACCAATAATTTAAATAATAATTACTAGAACTCATGAAAAATTAAAACAAAACAAGAGAGAAATGGATAAATAAAATTCAAGCGAATATATATAAGTGCTGCTCTCTATCTAAAAATTAAATAGCCGCTTTACCGAATTTATATTTTATCAATAGATGCTGCTTCCAATGAGTCTAACATTAATTGAAAAAAAGTAAATCACATTACTTAAATAATTTATACTCAATGATAATTAATAAATTTATTTTATTTTAAAAGTGTATTTAGTTTTTGGTTGGTCATCTTACCAACAATATTTCTTATAAAAACATTATATATCAAATAACAATAAACTCTCAACATTAAAGTAACGCCAAATCGAATACGATCTTACGAAAATAATTTTCATGTTTTTGAGACAAATTCTTTTATACAATTTTGAAATTAATTTAACGTCTTTAACTATTTTAAGTGGATATAATCGATTTGATTTTAATTGGATAATTTGATGGCGACTATTGAATTGTTACTAAGACAAGTAAGTTCTAGTTTTAAAGTGAACAGGATTAAAAGACTTGAATAATTTTTGTTTGCAGGCCCCTTTATATAAAATTTACGAATAAAATTTCAGCCAACACAATAGATTATTAAACAACTATTCACATTATTTCATTGACATTTAAAATGACCATAATTTTTATTTTTTTCCCATCATTTAATTTAAATTTTCGTTTTAAAGTGTTTACTAATGTTGCATACGAAACAAAAAACTTTAACCGAGTAACCTCTTATAACGATTCTATCTATATACAATTTTTGAATGTCAATTTCTGTGAACTCAAAAATAAAATATTATTGCGCATATGAAACTTTGTTTGTGTGACTGTTGGAACAAATTTGTTTAACAAAGATATTAACTTAAAGTTTACGATTATTATTTAAAAATACGAAATTAATTTTTTTATTATTAGGTTTTGTGTAAATAACGTTTTTGAATTCCAAATCATATAATTGCTATCACTAAATTGGAGTTTTGGGAGAAAATAAACTATATCACATTTTTATAATCATAAATTTGAAATTTAGTAAATTAAAATTTTTCATTGATATGATCATTAAGGTGATTATTAAAACCTAATATTTAGAGTGATATACAAATGAATATTGTTTAGTTGTTGTTTGCGGATTGCACTATAGGACGAATGGTGTCTATAATATTAAATTTTAAATAAATTAGAGGCAACAAAATATATGTGGTACTGACTTATCGTAATAATGAAGCTTCCCATTTTGTACTTCCTTATCACGTATTATCACAATATATTGATAAGTTTAATGTAGACTGATTAAATGATAAAAAACTTAAATTTCAAATGTTATGTTATAATTCGGATAAAATTAGTTCAGATTTTAGGATTTGATGAATATACTTTATTCAGAGTATTTAATTAATATTATGATATAAGGCATATTTTTATTTTACCTCAATTACACTCTAGATTGTATATTGTAATATCATATTTTTTTTTAATAGTTTAACTACAATAAATAAAAATAATGTTAATAAATTTAAAACGAATTATAAATAAATTTCCTTCAAATTACATTTCATATTGTTTTGCATATGGTTCTGGTGTATTTCAGCAAGCAACTTGTTATGATAAACCCATGGTTGACATGATCTTTGTTGTTACTGATTCATACAAATTTCACAAAGAAAACATAAAAATCAATGCTGATCATTATTCGTCTCTTATTCATTTTGGGCCTTCAGCAATTTCATATATCCAAAAGTCATTTGGTTCAAATGTATATTTTAACACTTTAGTTTCTGTTGAAAATCTCAAATTTAAGTATGGTGTTATAGATTATGAGGATTTCCGTCGAGATTTGCTTTTTTGGGAATCATTATATATTGCTGGAAGACTTCATAAACCTGTTTTAATTTTGCACGATGAAGGTTTAAGTAAACTTGTTGTACATAATTTAGAAAGTGCAATGCATGCAGCACTATTGCAGTTACCAGAAAAATTTGAAGAAATTGATTTATGGTTAACAATAGCTGGTTTATCATATAAAGGAGATTTTCGTATGATAATTGGTGAAGACAAAAATAAAATTCAAAACATTGTTAAACCCCAAATGGACAATTTCAGATTACTTTATTCACCAATCATTAAATCGATGAGTCATGTTGTAACATTGAACACTATAGGACATCAAGACAAAAGTGTTGAAAGTAAAATATTTCATTTAAACAAACTACCAATTAATTTAAAAAATAAATTAATAAAAAATCTTGAAAAAATAGAAAAAAAAAATCAAATTTTGCATGAAATCGCTATGAGAAATGATACAAACATACTTGTTAGTAATAGTATTAATCAAATTGTGTTTTACACTAGTCTTACACAAAGTTTAAAAGGAATTTTGACAGCTGGTTTATTAAAATCAATTATTTATAGCTTAAGTAAATTAAAAAAAATGTTTAAGTCAATGGTAATTTAATTTATTTTTATTAATATTAAACGTATTATTACTAGATATCTAGTAAAGACTGGTGTATTACTGTGTAAAAACCTTAAAAAAATTATTGTTTATCTCAAATCTACTTATAATCTATTTTAAAAATTTTAAATAACTTTTGTATTTACAAAAAATTGGGTTTGCTAATAAAATATTAGAATCCATGTTAATCAATAGAATCAAAGCATTAAATATTAGCATGTGATACAATTATATTTATATATTTTATATATATATATAAATTAATTTATAAATAATAACAAATGCTGAACAACATAATCATAAAATTTTTATTTTTTCTATTATTTATCATTATTATGGTTATTGTAACTTATATAATTTACTTTTCCTGAAATATTGCAATATAAACCAGGCGCATAATACAGTAATTTTTTTGGGAAACCAAATCTGCTTAACCATCTGATAACTTTTGATTTTATATTTGTTAACCTACATAAAAAAAGTTCTTTAGCCAATTATTACATCAAAGAATTTTTTTTTTTACTGATTCGAATACAACCCTGATTTTAACTCGTATTAGTTATTTGATAAACAAATAAATAAGGTATATAAGAGTTAATCAGTAAAAACTTATTAATTAGTGTATTATATAAATTCATAACTATATTTTTGTTTCAAAGAATTGGTAGGAAATTATTATAACTGCAAATATTTTATTTATTTGTTAATTTAATTTAGAATTAATTGATTTCTTAAAAATTAATTTGAGAAACAATAAGTCATCATTATTGTCTATGAAACAAGATATAATTATAAATATAATTCAGAAATTATGTACAAAAAAATTATTCTATTAAAAACTGTTCTTCAATCAAATGTAAGTAATTACATTGTTACCTAAATTTTACATTTGTATCAATGTATTTTTTAGTCTTGTCACTAGTGAATGTATTTTGTCTCCTAGTTAATTGTATTTTGGTTTTTATCTTTATCACCGGGGTGATAAGCATTTATTAATAAAAAAATTACTTTAATTGGCTATTAAATTTGAAAAAACAAAATCTTTATTGTTTAATGAAAATTTGTTAAAAAATTGATTGGTTTGTTTTAGCTTCATTCAATGTTTTCTACATAGCTAGTTTTTATTTATGGTGTAGAAGTCTATGAAAAGTATAATGTTCCACCTAAAGTATTTGAATAAAACAATTTAATTAAATAATGTTCTAATAACAATGTTAATGTAATGTTATTATCAGAGCTCGTAAGTTCATGCACTATAAAACTAAAAAAAAAAAGCATCTAAATATGAACTAAAAACAGCGTAGAATGACCAAATTTTGGTGGAGGGGCTAAATTTAATTTTCTTTCTCCAAAAATGGTTTTTATATAACAATGAATATAATTTTGCTAAATTTTTGGAAGGCTAATTTGTAAATTTTAGAAGAGACTTAAACCTCCCATACCTCACCTGACGCTTATACTAAAAATTTAAAAGAAGCATATTTTGAAAGAGCAAAAAATATTTAAAATATACCATTTTTTACTGTAAACTATAACTTTATAAAAAATCATAAACAAGTAAAAATTAAAAGTATAAATTAACACAATTTGAAACATTTTAGTAATATTTAAAAATGAATTATTTTTCTGATTTTCAATCATAATAATAAGATTATTAAAATGTAAATAATTATGTTTTGAAAAATTTGAGTAGATTTAGTACCTACTTAACTATGATTTTTTTAAAACATTAACCATAAAAATTACATTGTACTATACGTGTTTGTTTATGTTTTCTAACTTAAAAGATCGACGATGGTTGACTAATAAGTTTTTATGCGAAGCTGAGAAGATATTAATTTTTAAGATTGAAAATGATCTTTCTACGTCTGACTAAGTAAGTGGTTCATATTTATAATACAATAAATCGTTCCCATTCATTTCTCCAGGTAGATTTAGATTTTTAAGATCATCTTCTTTGCCGTTTAAAACATAAAAATGTTACAAATAATATTATACCCAAGATTATTATTATCTAAAACATTTTTCAATTTGTTTTGAATTTCAATATTGTTGCAGCATTCTAATTTCATAATTTTTTCGACAATTTCAAGTCCTTCATTCAATGGAATAGTTTGTTCTTGAAGTCGTGTGATCGCTAGCGGCAGGCAATCAAAGTTTGATTTAATGTAAATTGGATTGGCCTCCTATAATGATTGAAGTTTAAATTTATGTTTGGATTTATTTATTTGTAATATTTGAATAATTTTCATAAAATGATTCAAATATGCGTTTTAAAATTTCAAAAAGTATACAGTAGTACAACGCAGCTGTTAACCTAGTTCCCCACCGCGTAATTATCGGTACTGGAGGTAATGGTAAATTAGAGCATTTAGTTTTAAAAATGTTTACTCGATATGGGCATTTACAAAATATTTTTTTTACATTAGCCACCAAATTGTCGACATTTTTGAATTTAAAACAAATTTCTTTGGCTACATGATGTAAGCCATGTGCTAAATAAGTAAGATGAATCATTTATGAGTAAAAAGATTGAATATGAGCAGACTTTTCATGTCTGGCGCAGCATCGATTACAAACAATAAGACATCGCCGTACTGTATTCCGTTGGATCATAATAACAATAACAGTTTTACAAATAGTACTATGTTTCGCTTTATCAAGTTCTTCAATATTTAACAAAGATATTTGACGGAAGAATCATACAAAATTGTTCCAATTACTGTACTTATTGTGTATCTTCTCTTAACATTTGTTGTCTCGTCTATAGATCTATATTTTGTTACCGATCACTTTTTTCCTGTTATCATTCATTCTTTCATTGTAGCATTAGTCAACATATCCCAAATGCAAAGTAGATTAAACAGGGGTATCTTTTTCAGTATACTTCTCGAGGAAACTTCTGAATTGTGTATTGGATAGTTTGTTTAGAGGAATATTAGCGGCTAGCATCGCTCTTCATAAATCGATGTTGTGTTCATTTTTTTTTGACATGGTGGGTGCAAGCAGCTGAATTTTTTTATTATCTTCACATTTTTGAAAACGTTGTACTGCGCGCTTATGTTTGAAGCGATGTGTTGAGTTACACTGAAATGTTTTTCACTTGATACTTTTATTTCACAAGCTTTACAAATTAACACTTTATTGTTGGTAGAAAATATTTCTTTGACTAATTCTGAAACTAAATTTTGCAAACGAGCTGGTCTCATTAGTTTTTCTTATGGAATTATTTAATGTGAACAGTCCAAATACTTGTATTTAAAATTGAAATTCAAAACACTAACTAAAAACATAAAACTAATGGACACGATTCATCACAAAATAATCAACAAATAACAATATAACGACGCTGGAAATACGATTATAGTTAACTGGCTGATCAGAAAAATTGTACCCCTTTATATGTACCTAAATATATTGTGATGAAAATAAATTTATTAGATACCCATACAAATATTTGATTCGGCGTGGGTGGTGGTGATTGTGTGATAATATTAATTCCAATGAACTGCTTAAAACTTATAAAACCCCATCAATATCATAGATGGGCAAGTTAATGGAAATAATTAACTCAAGATGAGTTAAGTATGACCAGTGTCGATAAAGTAACAGATAAAAGTTAACAAATTATAAATTTAACTAGCTAAGTTAAACATTTTTTTAAACTTAATTAGTATAAAAAAAGTATTTCATTTTAAATTAATTTTTTGGCTAAATTCTCTTAAAATCATTTTTTATTAGTCGGTGATGTAAGGGAAAGCTAAGAATTGATTTTCAACTTTTAAATTTGAATCTTCTTCTTTTTCCTCGCTTTAACCCAAACTATTTGGGGTCGGTCACCCATATCCTAAACTTCCACTTGACACGATCTCCAACATCATATACACACATATCAGCTGTCCTCATATCACATTCATTCCATCTTCCATCTCTTTTTTGGTCTTCCTCTACCTCTTCTTCCTTCAACATTAATTTTTATAACTATTATCACAGATTCCGATTCCTCTATTCTCATTACATATATAAACCATCTAAGTTTATTTTTTCTCATCTTATCCACGATTAACGCTATTCCTATACTCCCTCTTATATGTTCATTCCTTATCCTATCTTCTCTAGTCACTCCATTCATCCATCTAAGCATTCTCATCTCTGCTACACTAATTCTCTGCTCTACTTTCTTGTCAACTGCCCAACACTTTGAACTATTCATCATAGCTGGTCTCACTACAGTCTTATAGAACTTAACTTTCAGTCTAATAGGAATTCTTTTATCGCATAACACACCAAACGCTTTTCTCCGCTTTAACCACTCGAACTTAATCCTGTGTCTTACATCCTCGTCAATACCACCGCTCTTTTGCACAAATGATCCTAAATACTTAAAACTTTCCACCTCTCCTATCACGTCCTCACCTATTGTCACTGAAATCCTCATTTCATAAGCTTTATGCCTCTATAATGTCCACAATCCTGTATTTCTCCTTTACCTTTAAATATTGGCACCACAATACTATTCCTCCATTCATTTGAGATTTTCCCTTTTAATAAGATTTTATTTAAAAGATCCTTCAACCACCTTATGCCAACACCGCCTAATATTTTCCATACTGCTTTATTCTTTATTATTGATGCCACAGCCTCCATACCTCTTTCTCACAAATTAAATCTACCAGCCCCTCATTCCACGAGATATCCGCTAATGTCTCTTTTGGATACTCCTCATTCAGTAATTTTTCAAAATAGTCTATCCACCTTCTTTTAACATCATCATCACACGATAGCACCCTATTATCAATACTTTTTATACACCTTACGTAGTGATAATCTTTAGACCTTTTTTCTCTTACTTTTGCTAGTCTATAGACTTCTTTTCGCCTTCCTTTGTCTTAGCCTATCGTACAACTCATCATACTTTTTAAACTTAGGAAAAAAATTTTAATGATAATAAAAAATTTTTTTATTCGTTTTGTACATTTTTGTGTTAGTTACATTGTTTTATCTTTAAAACTAGTTAAAAATCATATACATTATTGAAAAAAATCCAGAAAATTATAATTATTGTTATATAAATATAATATTTTTTTTTTTAATTAAACCCTGTAAACAGTGTATAAAGACTTACATCTTTTTATGAAATATCGAGTTTAGCTTAACTGTTATTTTAACTAATTAACTGAAAAAAGCTAAATTATTTCAACAGAAAATTAAATTAGTTAAGTTAAAAAGTTTATTAGAAAACTAATTATTTAGTTATGTCGAAAAGTTAAAAAAAAATTAACTTTTTAACGAGTTAATGCCCACTATTGATCAACATCAAAAACAAATACAAATAAACTCTAAAAATATTAAAAATATATTAACATGTTCGAAAAAAAAAATGAATTTATTTACTTTCTTTGAAATAAGATTTCCCTGAATGAATAGGAAATAATATGCACTACCAAACTTCATATATTTATTAATAGTGTTATGAAATGAATTTGTAGCTCACTTAGCATGATTCCTAAGCAAAAAAACATGTAAATGCATGAACTTATAAGCTCTTATGAACATAATTAGTAATGCTGTCAGCAATACTAATTCATGTTAATGGTAAAATAATATTAATAAAATATTAAAATGTAAAATCAACAGCAAAACTTCTTCATTAAAAATAATTTTGCAACAAATTTTATTTAAAAAATATTCATTACACAATAAAATAATGATTGTCTTAATAATTGAAATAATTGAATAAAGGTAATTAGCAAGTCAAAGAAAAAACAAAAAAATTATAATTCTTATATATATATTAATAATAATATATGTATACATATAATATTTACATTAATATCTTAATGTTTTAATCTAATTTTAGTATATGTAACAAGTCATGAACTAAATTTCTGTTACAATACATTACAAAAATAATATAATATACACATAAATATATATTAATTACAATAACTTCAAAATACTACTTGCTTTCTATTTATATAATTGTTTTTAAATTTCCATCAATTTATACTTTTAGAGATCAATAAGCATTACTTTAAACCTCTACAAACAAAATATCAAAGTTTTGAAACGTTTTCAAAAAGAAAAACAAAAAACAAAGTATTAAAAGTATTAACCCGTGAATTTACAACAAGTGAGCTTAGCGTACATAAACTCTTAATAAAATATAATGATATAAAATTAATATTCTTTTCTAACCCTGAACTTGAGACCATTTCTTATAATACTACCATGAAATACAAGACAAGCAAAAAAAACCCTAATAATAAGTTTAAATTTTTAACTACAGTTAATACAAAAATGAGCCGTATTTAACAACAGATCATAAAACAGCATGAAAAATACATATGTATATGATAATAATTATATAACATAAAAACGTATCATAAATTAATAACAAGTTGAAGGCTAATTTATTATTTTTTTTGGCTGAAATGTATCTCTATGGTATTGGAGGAATGTTCGCTTAAAACTCAAACTAATAATTTATGCCAAATTACTGTATTGACTTAATTAATAATAATTATACGTACTTCTGTTACATATTTAATAATTAAATAAGACATAAACCATAAGTAAATGATAAATTAATAACGTGAGAGTTAAAAATTTATTATTAATAATAATTTAAGAATATCTTTCAGTTTACAACAAATTATCACATTAATTTAATTATAATGTGTATGTATTAGAATAAAAGACAAAACAAGTGAATTAAAAATTAGAACATTAAAAAAAATAAATTTTTTTAACATAGTTCATCAATATAGTAATAATTAATTTATCTGAGGTATATGATTAAAATTATACATTTCAAAAAAAAATCATAATAATTAAAATAAAATAAAATAAAATAATAATAATAATAATAATAAATTTATTTAAATAGGCCTATGTACATAATTCAACAATTAATAACAACTCATTATTTTATATCGTAATTTTCTAAATCGAGGAAGACACTTGTTTTACAATCAATCACCTAATTGCTTATAAATAGTAAAAAATATAAACTTTAAAATATTGGGCAATACACAAAATAATGCTATAAAAATAATTTCATAATCTCAGACAGGGTTTCTCGCACAAACTGTGAACTCTTTCTAATATAATGTCAGTCAATTAAAAAATAATAATAATATTCTACTGGTAACATAACATTATTCAGATACCTACATCGATGCTCTGTGTATTTCGTTGTGCGACAGTCTTAAGGATATGCCATAAAAATAGCGAGTGACTGCTAAACAGTTCTAATAATGCTTCTTTATCATAAAAATAGAATGCATCAGAAAAATACCCTGTATTGACCACACCCTCATAAATCAAAAATGGGAATTTAACAGTCCTTTGTTAGCATAAAAATATTCAACTTGGTAACATAAAAATTAAAAAAATTTTCTAGTAAACTTGTATATAACAATACAATTTTATATCCCATATAGTGGGATAATGTTCAGCATCTAAGAAGCTTGTTCAAGTTTAATAGCAGTTTTAGATAAACCAGAAGACACTTGTGGTGATACAGATGTAGACATATTTAATTGCAGCTGCATTGATGAACTATTAGAAGCTGTTGATAAGTCTTGAGGTCCATCTTGCCATTGACTTTGAGAACATGACATACTGAGGTCAGTTGGTTTATATTCATCATCAGAAACTTCAGTTCCAATATCTTGCTTAGCAGGAGTTGGTGTAGGAAGTGTCTGTGGTGAAGATGATGCCATTTGTTGTCGGAGCAATGATATGTTTTTAATACATTTTAATTCACTTGGATTACGAAGAAATCTATAAAAAAAAAAAAATTATATAGAATATAGCAATAATTTGTTGTTGTATAAGGTACGAGTACACAGGACCATCCATACAAATTTCAAGACCCGCAAATAATAATAACTCTTTTAGCATGGCCAACAAAAAAAAAAATTGATGTTTCCACACAAATGCAATTACACTTCCATAAGTCGGTTACCTTTCCCAATTCAAAATGTTAACAAACATAAAGTATCTTACCCTATGTATAATTTATTTAGTACATTATATTGAAGCAAATTTACTTTTATTATTACAATTTATACTGTACAAGTATTTTGTACTTAATTTTATTTAATTAACAATATAATATTGTCAAATTAAAACTCAAACTGTTTGTAGAAATATAAATATTTAAAGAAAACTTAAGAATATTTAAGTGTGTGAACCGAGGAGTCATGAAATCTGAGGCATGGGCCCAGTTTGCTTTGGCCCTTAGGACGGCCCTGAAAGTACATCAGTTATAAAATATGAACAACAACACTTACTGGTAACAATGTCTTTCACCTTGAACTTTTCTCAAAATATTTACTCTGTAATAATAACGTAGGGCTCTTGACATTTTATCATAGTTCATAGACAAATGATTTTTTTGTATTCCCCATAGTTTTGCTAAACCTGGAGGATCTACAATTTTAAATACTCCCATTTCTTGATTTTTCCAAGCTATAAAACTTGTAAAACGTTGTTGAGAATCATTTAACAATTGTTGCAAAAAATCCCACAAGAGACGACCATCTAATAAATAAATGAACAAAATTCAATAAAACTAATAGAATAAAATAATGATAAAACAAAATAGTTATAAAAAATCACACGTGATTTTTAAATTATTTTAAAAACTATTTACTTGTATTTGGTTCAATTGAGTTGGAATCACCAGAAGGAAAAAATATGTTTCCATTAGATTGCTTAGGTGTTGATGGAGAGTATGGTGGTGGTGATGTTGAAGAAGATGGCGTTGTTGGAGTAGGTGGTGGTAAATTAAGTTGACCATTACCATTTGAAGAATCTTCTGGGTCTGAATCAGACTGATTGCTACCACCAGAGCTGGTACCATTATTTGAATATCCTTAATTAATTATACAATCCCAAATTAATATAAAATTGGCTAACTAAAAACTATTTTATAGACTAAATTAATAAGAAAAATATATAGAAAATAGACCTTTCCTTCACAATACACATACTTCAAAGATATCTAGATATATTTATAATATTTTGAAAGTATTTATACTATATAAAGACCATTTAAAAAAACCGCTTTTAGAATTTTTATTGTTTTATAAATGGCACTTTAAGTGCAACAATGAAAATAAACATAAAAATACTTACCGACTGTTGGATTAGTTGGAAATATTGATACGCTGGGTGTAAGGTGATGACCAACAGAAGTTGGTGTTTGTTGATGGTCCATGTGTCGAGGACTGTCCGATTGACTGTCAATAGATGGTGCTGGGCTGAGGACAGCCGGTGATGATGGCTGTGGTGGTAAACACCAAGTAGGGCTAAAAGGAAAGTGTGAAGCTACTGGACTGCTCGGAAGATGACCAGCACTGCTAGCACTGAGGATGTCTCCACCACGCCTTAATAGTTGCAAAACATTATACAACAAATCACCGGCACCTGGGCATCGTTCACCTAAATCTTGTTTAGTCAGCAAACAAAGAGCCTTGCCATTCATTTGAAACAGTTCAGTGTCAAAACGAGGTAGATCAAACTCAAGTTCAGCCCATTGAATGAAAGCAGCTACATCTTCTTTGCTCCATATTCTAGGATCAGTTACTAGAGAAATATTGAAAATAAAATTTAATTACCATGCCGAGTGCATACACAGGTTTTCACCGAAATAAATATGGAATACTCACTCAGGTTAGCTGGCAAGTGGTGTTTGAAATCTAAAGGTGATGGGAAAGGAGTGGGCGGTAAGAGGGTAGGTGACGGTGGGAAGTTGAAAGCGCCTCCATGATGTGGATGATGGTACCGCCAAAAGAGATCTGCAGCAGCCACGGCGTTGCTGTTAAATACAAATGCTGCAGCAGCAGCATTGTTGTTTAATCCAGCAGTTCCGCCGTTAGTAGCACTGCCAGCACCTCCACCACCAGGCCTCGTCAATGAAGACACTTGACCCGGAGTAAAGGGCATTAGTTTCATGACACTTTTAATTTTTAACTGCAAAAAAGTGAACAAATTAATATCAATTGCTAATAGAATGTATATTTAAATCGAGCATTTTTTTGTTTCAATTGGCACAAAATAAAATCATATTTCAATAAAACCATTATTGTTTGGGAAACCGTAAATAGGTACAAAATATAAAAAGAAAACGTATACGAGACAAATAATTGATCTCAAACGCGATTAACAATTTACGTACCCCAAAAACGAGTATAAATTTTTATTTTATTTCGTGTTTACATTTGTTTGATACGATAAGCTAAAACAACAAGAGCAACAGCAGCTCAAGCACTACAACGATTCGTATTAAATTTCGCACCGCCAGCACGTGGAATCGACGTTCCCAGAATAGGAGGCGATAATCATTTTTATTATAATACTAATAAGTAGTGCGTTGGGCGTTGACAATAGAGCGGTAAATGCGTCATTATTAGGCTGCGTTAATGTATAGGGTCATAGAAGACTTTAGAATGTACGAACATTAATGAGCATCATCAAGCAACCGATTAACACTGAACGACTGAAAACAAAATAGGAAACTCGAGAATCATGTGTAATTGAATATATAGATTTTTTTTTTTCTAAATTACATTAATATAAAATTATGCGGATTGATACATTATTCAAGAATTATAAAATATACGTACATTAAAATTCGATGTAATAAAATACAGCGATTTATTCTTCTATTAACAAAATGTGTTTTAACAAACAAATCGATTTTTTAATAGACGATAATTGCACAACTAATATTTTAGAAAAACACAATTTAATTTATAATTTTATGTCAAGTTAAAAGTTTACTATGTCGAACAAGAAACATTGTATTGTACTAGTGATTTCCAAAAATGACATACAAGCTTGAAAGTCACTCTTTCAACAACGAAACCGTAGACTAAAGAGTGTACACATCACATTATTCCTCACGAAACCATGTGTGGTTACAAATACACGTGCACCTCGTGCAATCATTAGAAACGGACAGTTGGTACATGGGTCACTACAGCGGAAGTAGATTAATGAGTAATTTCGCAAAATCCAACGGCACAAAGTTAGAAAAATGATAACGCCAGTGTTGGGCCTTTGTAGTTTTCTACATAAGATCACGTTCGGCTCAAAGGTCGCTTATTCTTTATTATTCCCAAATCGGTAAACCGTTATCGCAGCTATGCGTTTACATACGCAGATAACAACAGCAATCCAAATTGAAAATAATACTTTTACCGCACACATGATATTATTGTTGTTCTAGATCCGGGCGTATCCGGTAGGAAGGCCAAATGAATGGATAGTCCAGCGTACAGTCACAACAACAGTTTATAAGGCGGTCATGACGGTACCGATACAAAAAAAAATTATTACTATTAGGTTATCATTGTAGTACGTGTGAGCGGCGGCAGTGGCACATGATGTATACGGATAAGAAACGGGCGCAACCGGAAATACAATTATAACAATAATAATTTAATTAATCAGACACGTAGTGGTGGGTTGGCTCGTAGTAAAATAAAGTATGATGAAAGTATACATATCTCATTAAACACCAAAACCGACGTTGTTATCAGTGTTCATGATATTCGACGAATTTGTATTGTGCCAAAGGGGTCAATCGCACATTAAGGTTATAGACGAGTTTACGGAAATATCACATTGCCTGCTAAGATATCATATATAAATAATAACAAATATAGATGCTCTTGAATTTTGGCGCATATCAATGGTTTAGTGACCCCCCGATAGCACATATAACGGAGAAAAAAATCTTTATGGGACAATGACAATATTATGATAAATGAGACACCATCGACGTGCTTATCTTTAGCTATGTCCCAAGGACTAAAAAAAACAATGACCCGACGTCGCTTGACGGGCGCACTACTATGTTAATTTGAAAACTGAAACCGAAAGAAATTGGACATAAATATAAGCTTAAATCTTCAGTCCGGTCGAAATTCAACGACCACGAAAACTTGCCGTGACGTCATACCGCAGGCTGCAAATAGTAAACGTGAACTTGTACACCAGTAGACTATTTCCTAGGAAGTTTTTTTGTACTTGGAGTTTTCTTATTACACGTGGGAAAGAAACGCGATAACAATATATACAGACACGCGTAATACAAACATGATGGTGGCAGCTATACGCGGTAGCCGCCGTTGTCGCAACATTATACAGGTATAGTTATTGTACACATTATATACAGGAACAAACGAGTATGGCGACGACTTGGTCGTATCTATAATCGCCACAAGGTGATCTACACACAAAAAACGGAAACTATACACGAGGAACGCGTTTGGACACAATAATATGTTATTTATGTTGAAATTATTAACACTTCCCTCTGATAGTATTTTTTCCTGCCATTTTGACGGATCATCATTATGACAGATTTATAAAACAAAAAAACCATATAATAAAAAAATATTAATATCACACAATGATATGTCAGTAACGACCCGCCGTATGGGTGAAGTGAATAAGATCAAAAATCTTTTTGATTATGACAACGATAACTTAATCAAATTTTTTAATTGTTCTATAGCGGAGGACAGAACAGAGTTCGGTTGACCCAATTATAAAAAAAAAAAAAAGTTTCATATCATTAAACCATTACAGTTAAATATCTACGGACTAATCGAAAATGGTTAGACTATTAGAGTTCACTAATATCCTAATGAAGGCGGATGATTAGTAAACGTTGAAAATCTGGTGGCAGCCACAACACAAGCCTTGATGCACAACAAAATAACGGCTGGTAGAAAGTCTCACTCGAGGCCTCTCTTCGTGTTATGCTGGCTATTAATATCAGCACTCATAATTACCCACGGTAAATTACCGAAATTGAACGTCGTCATGTACAAGTATGTGACGAAAACAACACATCGTTTAATGCGTTTGAATAGGAAAAACAAAAAATACAGAAATTTTAACACCGACCAGCTATAATTATCGTGACACCAAATCGAGTTTTCGCCTTTAAAAACGCCAATGACAAGTTTCTTACACGTTGCTTAAGATCGCCATTGTTTAACATTATCATCCGTTACAGTACTTCCGGTATTTGCACGTTGTATTTGACCCGTCGAGGTCGCGCGGTCTATGCGAACATCCGGCCTACCCGGTTCTTGACAATAAGGTTTTTAGAGTATTTTCTAACAGCGGTGGAAAAATTATTTAAACTTTTTGAGAACACTATATTCATCGAAGCCGCAAAAACATTTGGTGGTCGACAGTGTTCCTGTAGAAAATAACTTAAAAACAACTGTGGATGTTTCCTTCCTCTTTCGACCTCGAAAAAACGTCTAAGCAAATAATAAACACCCGCGGTAAAAAATACTATTCAAAAATATAAATGCTGCTTTTATTATTTCTTACAAAAAAATTCACCGACGACGTCGAAGAATGTTATTCAAAAGTAACTAAATTATCCAGGACATTTATAAATGAATCCATTGGCGTGTAGGTCTATTGTATTTCTAAAAATATTTTACGCTTAAAATTAGATTAGATTACTATCCCTGTCGGTATATCCTTTAGATTACTCGGAAAACATATACTGCGATTTGTTATCAGCGCACCTTACGTCACAAAATCATTCGACTGGATTTTCTAAAAATAATTGTAAGTGATGGTCAAAATTGAGAATTGTTATTAGGTGTTTTGGACGCCTTTCTAATAAAATTCCAAGAAAAATATCATAAGCGCAAAGCGATAATGACTCGTTAAGTACGTAAAACACACGTTTTGATTTGTATGAAATACCAACTTAACACACATGTACCTACATTTAACATAGAAATATTTTTACATAACAATAATGAAAAACGAACAATGACCGTTCAGCGACCGTTTTCCTTTTTAAATATTCAAATAATTGTTCTACTAGGTGCGATGGTAACCAGTCGAACAATACTTGCAATTACCAGTATTGCTAAGTAATTTAAACCATCTTATCGGTATTAGATGATATTAAATACTTAGAAGCGTTAGACTACATTTAATAGCAGTTCGTATTGTTTTACACAGTATTTACAGACAAATAACAATTATTTGTCAAATCAACTTGTTAAATAATTGAACCAGGTCGTTAAATGAGAAATTAGGAAAAATACAATGGTATTCTCAACAGAAAAAAAAATCAATCGTGTTGGATATAATCAAAAAAAAAATGTTATTTAATTGTATTTATTCGATTATTGGCGGCAACGTATTAAGCAGAAAAGTTTTTGGACACGTAACACACAGGCAGGATGGTTTCATACAATTGCAAACCAATGAATTTGTGATAGTAATATTTCGATTGTTAAATAGACGATTAGTAGTTATTTATAACATAAACGGTGAGCAGTAAAGGATACCCAAGTGTGGCGGGTTAATAAACGTTCGCCAGAGCAACTTTTCTATCAAAATGTTTACATACAGATATATATAGAAAAAGGTCATACCAAATAATAACAAAGATTATTTTTTTACGGACGGCCCTACAGTAACTAAAATAGAACGACGTCCGACTATTCGACGAGCACTTCCCGTCTACGTTAGTAGAAGTTACAACCGCTAAACTTACTGCGTAACGTTTCATGAATATATTCTAATAGAAGTACCACGTACTTCCGGTTACACAGGAAACCGGCAAGCGCATTAATATCCTTTCAGCCACGGTACACGCCTTGTCACCGACGTCGTTCTATAATTGCCCTCATTTAGGTGGCCCCTACATATTTAACGAGTCTTCAATGCGAATATTCATGATTTTCTTCGCGACCTTATACCCACCACAAGAGCATCACCACCATTGTTTTAATGAAAGCAATTCAACTAGACGACTTTTTTTACCGGCAAACGAACAAAGTTACAAACGACGTCGTCCAACAAACGTCTGCCGGAAAATAGTATTAAATCGCCCCCTTCGAAACCAACTTGGTATAAGTACAACTGTTGTTGTAACACTACGACAAGAAAAACGAGACGCGACGGCGGTTAACCTTGGAAGGCGACGACTACACACGGCGGTTCTTTGTCTCTTGGGGCCACAATATGTGTTCTAACTACATATACTATAAACTACTGCAGTCTACGTCTCCAGGACCGTACACGAAGAGGAACTTCCGCTCTACGAAAAGAACGAGCGCGCGCACCACCACCACACACCATCGGCGCAACAGGTCATGTTACACCACAGCACTACACTTCATCTCCACCACCACGAGAAACGTGTCGGGTACGCGAGACCAAAACAAGTTTTTGGTCAGTTGTCAGCAAGCGGGAACACCGTAACATACTGAAAAATTAAATAAAAAACATAGATTTCCTATGAGGGATAAATGGAATTGAACACGTAACACACCCTAACGTCTATACGAAACACATGAACATTCAGTGCATTAGCGATTTACATTCCTAGAAAAAATTCCTCTTAGATTTAATTTCCATTAGACAATTTGACCTCTTATTTAACACCGCGTTACTTGATTAGTCATTGAACGAAGCAATATAAATATTGATGACGGAAATGGTGGTCAATGGTAATTGGATAAAATTTATTATCGATCAAAAATAAACCATGAAAATGTCAAAACAATATTACCAATACATAAAGAGAAAAATTGACATGCCTATTATTATGTTGAATTTCCGGATAACCTCGAAGCTGAGGCCCATAACTGAACTCCAAGATTGATTAAAAAGCGGGGCAGACAAAAAAATATTTTAAACAAAAATATGTCATCTTTATAGAGTACACAATGTTAAGATTATTCTTCCCTCTTTTCTTACGCGTCCCCGGGGGGCGGTGGGGGTGTCGTCCCTTTTGTGCCGCCTGTAGAAGCAGGTGTTCCGTGTACGTCGTGGGGTGCGGTTGCGGCGACTTAAGAACCGGCAGATACCGGAGGGGAAAAAAGAAAGGAAAAATATAAATATAATAATGTATATATCTATACGTTTCTGTATATCTGTATAAATCCCTGTCCGTTTGCTTACCCGCCTACCGATGATCGAGAGCGGGGAGCCCAGACGGTACGAAGACCGTGGGAACGGGACCGTTTCCTTTTTCTCCCCCGCCACATTCCACCGACGGCAGCTTCCCAAAAAAAACAATATATGTTCTTTGTTGTCCGTCTACTTCACGCCTCCTACTACCGCTCATCTAACACAAATATTCTCGCGTTATAAGCTTTTACATAAACTCAAAAAAAAAAAAAAATCGACAGCACCAACGTTTATCGGAAATGGCAATACCTAACAATTAGGATACGTAATTATACCTGAGCAAATTTAAAAAATAATACGGGAAATGAACTAAATTATCACAGGAACACAGACGGCTCTTTAAAAATTAAGAAAATAAAGAATTGTATCGAAAACATTGAAGCAAACCACCGATTTTTAATTGATTAATTTTTCTTGCGATTATTATATTATTCGCCGTCTAGTTATATGAATGTTTTATGAGATATTATTTTTCTAAAAGTCTGCAAACAAACGACTTGGAAGTCCGTCCGGAATCCGGTCGTCGCTGTTATACGTTCACATGCGAGTCAAATAGTTATGTTGTGTGTAGTCAAGGTCAACAGGACAATAGGAATGAAAAAGGGCGGCGGTGGCGGAAAAGAACGCATCTCGTCGTCGTCTCGGGAGTCCCGGACATGGTTACCCTCTTCCTCGCCCATCAACGCCATCATCGTCATCATCGTTTTAAGCGTAGCAGTCGACACCGCCCGCCACTACCGCCTCCGCGAACCACCACTCCATCTACGGCTGAATCGTTATGATCGCGGAACAGGAAATACGAGCACTGCCGCCGCCGTAACCATCGTCTCATGTGACGTGCGTGACCAATAGGCAGTGCGGCCAACCCTTTTATATTGTCTTGAAATTGTAAATTATTTTCTCAAAAATTTTATCGAGTGAATTTAATATGTAAATATACTCAAAAAAATTACAAAAAAAAAAAAAAAGTTATTATAAATATCCTCCATTCAGGTCCATTTTGATATTAACTACAAAAAATATTAACGAGAGCGGGTGTCCGGGTAAACACCTGTCGCTTCTTTACTATCCCATATAGACCAAGGGTAAGGTGTCGCGTATTACGGTGGTGCAGATTCCTTTTGTCACTGTTTACAATGAACTGTATAACGGGCGAGCCGCAGGCCTACTGTTCAAATATCGTCTACTTCCAAAGGGTCTTAAAAAGCAAAAAAAATTGAGAGTGAAACTGAGTAGGTAAAAAAACGTTGATCCTAAAGACGACACACCGTTATGTATAATATATGTCCATTGTGGCGTTATGTAAGGTGACCGACTAGCTAACTCATAACGAGAGCTGCATACAATGTCCGCGTTATGCAATGATAGGATACCTACGCAACACAGACTACCTTTATCAAATAGCACGAAAAGATATCTTCGGCTATAAAATCAAAATCGAAATTGGTTGAACAAAATATAGAGAATAAATTTGTCGAGTACAAGTAGAAAAAGGTTATCTTAATACTATTGTGACAAACACTTGAAATCTTACCTCAATTGCGTGTCGCTAAAAAATTCAAGTGGCGTTTCGTCAAGAGTAGGTTGTGTTGTCCGGATGATGCATTTACGCGTACACACTTGAAACACACGGAAACGCACTCGAATATTTCTGCGCTATCGGTCGCGACGTTCGCACAAAGACCGGCGACGGACTACTTATATGCAACAATTATTAAAAAAAAAAAAAAATTAATATTTTTAAACGACAGTGCAGACGATAATAATCAAGACACTGTTAAGATTGCGTTATTGGAGACAGTTTAGCGGACTGGTCAAATAAAATTTCAAACGTACAAATTAAAAAAGCTAAAAAAAAAAAAAAATGGATATTTATTTCCTCGTCGGACGACAGAAGTGCACTACATGCTCCACCGGCAACCTGACGGCAACAAAATGAAATAGTGGCTGATAAATTGTATGGGCGTCGCGTGATACGATCGCCGTCCGAGCGCGCTCAGTGCTGCCCGAGCCTGATACTGTATGTAGTTCCATAATTATTGTACTGTCACATAAAAATAACAAAAAGAGTAGTGGCTTAGGTACAAGACCTACAGTCATTCAAACATAGTTATTTCCTCCCACAGCCAACCGATTTATTTTTTCACTTTTAATATAACAATAACAACTATGGTGCTGTTATTTAGTTTATGATAATCATTTTACTATGTAAACGATTAATGTTTTTGACGATCACAATGCAATTATTATCGTATTTTCATTTACGGTACTGTAACTCAAATTTCTGTCTTATACCTAAGAAGTACTAGAAACCTATGAATGCTTGTTGAAGCCACCTCTCTTATGTTCACTAATTCTCATACTGTGTATGCGTTATAATTTCTATTCATACACTAATTATGCCATTTCAATGAGTATATTTTATCGACAACTGTAATTAAAAACATTTATTAATATGACGAAAGCCTAAACAGGACAAGCTTTAGGTGCGAATCGGTGTGCCTTGTGTCCTCGACCCATTCTTGCGAGTCAGGTTTTTCGCGGTTCTATTGTACATGTTACAAGTATGGTGTTGGTACTAATTCAAAACTTGGACAATTAATTATTCACTATCAGTAAAATTATATGAAGCCGTAGATCCAAATAAATAATTAGGTGTACGAATTGGTAAGTGTGCGGAAGTACATTGTGCTACGACCGATGGCCTAGTTATTGTACTTGGTTATGAAAAGTTATTTATTTACTTATTCGCAACACATAACATTGTACGTTGTTTTTTAATCGAAGCGAGCAAATACAGCTCATACTGCACAATAAAAACGGGACCAGACAGATTAAATAGTTTTTTTTTAAGAAGCAGACGATGCACACGGAATTGGAACGGAGTGGCATGCACGTAACTTCTACACTTGCAACACATAATATTGTAATTTATAACACTAAACAACTACACACACTTATAATATTGTACATGTACACGTTTTTATTTGTTGGAATTGTCTAAGTTCAACAACGACACAAACGGAAACACATTTTAAAGGTCATAACGTGTGGTCACAGAATAACAATATTAGTGTCAATTCCACTCGTCCGGCCCTTTAACAAGAGATGCATATTATTACACGACATTCCAAACGTTCTAGTGAAATGTGAACCCAATTAGAAAATCGATAACAATTAATGTATTGCGTTTAGAACACTATCACTATCGTTATTGATATTTATTGCCCATATTGCTCGGAAATGGTTTCGAGAAAATAACAGAATTTAATTGTTATTGTTATTTTATGTCGTCTGGATAAAACTGATTAGACGGGTACAATCGTAACACATAATATGTACCAAACGGTTGTATAATTATAAATACAACGATTATCTGAATTAAGGGACTAGTGTTGCACACGAAATACAATAATAATGTCAATTGTTTTCGCTAGTGAAAAATCAATCATTTCTTTCCTCATCCGCATGAAAACAAGTCGGAGTCCTTGGACCACCGCAGTTTTCTGTCACGGTTTAACGATTCTCCCGGTTTCAAAACGATTTCCTAGGCACACTGCAGTTGTCTGTTCGAACGACGTATTCTAACTACTACTACTACTCTTACTACTGCTATTATTACTCTTGTCCTTTTCAACTGTTGTAATAATCAAACGATCGTCTATCTAATCTATTCGAACTCTGTCTATTCGTCAATACTAATCAATATGTATCATCTTCATTACGACCCGAGTATTACTGAACGCGTGTAACGATAATTGTGTTTTACACGTTCTCGTCCGTGTAAACGCGTTGAAATCTGACGTTAATTGTTGACAATCAGTTGTTTGACACACTCCGAATTGTTATCAATTTCGAATTTCTGAAATGATAAACACTTGACGTGTACGGGTATTGGACGTATTCGTGTGACGTCGGGTATATATTACATACACCCGACATCGCACGTCACACGTTAAATTCGCCGGATACAATCGCCGCCGCCGCCTCGAATAGGAAACCCAGCCCAGATTTGACGCTCACGCATTCTTTACACTCGACGTGGTGGTAATATTTGCACGCTGGTCAACGTCATCCGGTTTCGGAAACTTTGCGAGATCTCCTTCGGATAATCCTCTTCACTCGTTCGCCACTACTTATTTACGGCACATTCGTGTGTACTCGTAAATTTAGTCAATAAACCAGCCGCTAATGGGTTTTAACGGGAAATTAACTCGCTGTTCTGTAACTATAATGCTAATGCCCATTGTTGCAATACGAAACGTTCCATTGCCGCGTCCAAGCCCAGGGGACGTGTAATTTTTACTTTTGTTGACGGACGGCGTTTGCATTACATCAACACATTAACGTTGAAATATTACGTCGTTAAATAAATTCGATTTTGACTTGGTAAAAACTCATTAACGCTCAGCCTTGGACACGCGAATTGGACTAAACACAATAGCTATTCCGTTTGTGATATTAGAATTGTAAATAATATTCCAAGAGGAACTCGAAGTTTTGTTTCCACCGCGCGTATCACATGTTTTTCCGGCCGGCGTTGTGTTTCCACACGCTCGCACAACGGCTCAAGGTATTCGTTTTTACACAACAATATCGTAATATTATTTTTAGCGATATTATTATCATCTCTGCAATTACGCGTGTCTCAAACGCGTTGCGTGATATTTGCATAAATAACATATTACAATATTATTATGTTTACTTCCGGGCGTAAAATCGCCACAACAATTCGCACAATACAAATAGTGTACTGCCACTGGACCTGCGTTCACGTAACGCGCGCGTATTGCCTTAACGGTGCTGTGCATTACAACCAAGTAAAATGCCCGTAATATGATAAGGATAGTCGGCGTAAGACTTGTAAACGGCGGTCGAGATTGATTACGCGCCGGGGTACGTTGTTTTTCATGAATACTAAGTGCGAGGAAAACGACAGTTACGACCAACCAATGAATTCTACTTTATTGGAAACCGGTTGTCGAGAGATTTAAACCTAAAAGAGTACCCCCGTGAATACACCTGGCACCTGTACGCCGGTTTCCTCTTTGTCCCAATGGCAGCGGCGTCGATAGATATTACCGAGGGAAACGATGTTTCCTTGAAATACAAATTCAAATTGGCATGCGCACTAACGCCGTACCCGATTTAATATAATTCAACATCTGAGCAACAACGTGTCAATACACTCCAATCGTGTATTATTACGTTTGAAATTCAGATTGCCAGTGGACAGTCCGAAACAAAAAACAATTCTCAACTATTTTTTTTCCTCGGCGGCAATCTGAATAATTTATGACGATGGTGTAGTACTACTGTCGACCGGTTACATGCAACAACGATGCCGCGCTTCAAAACGCATTGGCGTCACGTCGGTTTCCGTTTCGATATCGCCAAGTAATCACGACCAGACGATAAGACCTCCTGGCGTTCCGTACGGCCACAACACGAACCGTATCATAGTATTGTGCGCCGCGAACAACGTTGTGGTACACACCGTACAGACGTCTATAAATGCACCGTAAACGAATACCACTTGTTATCTCGTTGGACTGCGCAATAGCAATTAAATAATTTGCCCGCGTACGATTACCACCTCAATGACCGTGTGAGAATTACCGTTTTGGTAGCCAATGGAAACACCATCTCAGTGTTGCGACATCGGCATATGACAATTAGCCACCCCGAGTATTTTACTTAACAGTTGCTAGAGATCCAAATCTACACTCTTCCGACAGCTCATCAAAGAACTAGAATATATTTGATAAAAGGTAGATCCCATTGAGAATAGATAACTACCGGGCAAACACCAAGTTATTTAACCAACTTTAATGTCTAACGAGAACCTTAAAATGGGCAACTTCAAACCTGCTAATCGAGACAGTGAAACGTCAAGAGGACTACGGTAGAGGATATTAGGACTTGAAGTAAATTGCGTTGTTTCGCCAACGTAAGATCAATTTCAGCAGATTTAATGAACAATAAAGATCTCTTTAATTGTGTGTTGTCTATACTTATGCATCATACTTGTGTCACGTACGATCATATTCAATTATAGTAATTTTACAGGTTTTTTTATTAAAAATTTTTAGTGCAATGAAAATCATATCCCAGATGACGATAGATCGTATTTTAAACAAAATTCTCTGTTGAAATTTGCACTTGATTATTATGTTCTTCAAACATTGTTACGAGAAGAAAATTGACGTATTTTATTTCAGAATTTTTTAGGGCGACAATAAGCTAAATTTAATACATTTCTGTAGTCGCATACTGTCAAATTAAATGAACAAATTGACTTAATCGAACCTAAATGTACTCGCGGTTATTCAAATACGCGTAAAGACTTGAGTTTTACGTTGTAAAAAGTAAATTCTGTATACATATTTTGACTTGAACGAAATTTTTATCACTGTTTTTATTCGGAAATTTAGTTGCTTTTAATTAATAGTAACAAATTTAGTATCGCAAACTCATAACAGGTGCAATACTGATAAATAATGGCTAAAGCATCAACAGCTAATAACACATTGTGAGTTTTTTTTTTATAAGCGAGTTTAATGACCTTATATTATTATTGTTATCGTATATTTTTTGATTTTTGAAATTGGAAACGCGCCGAAATGACATGAACGTCCATGAGAGATGTACGCCACATGTTGGCGACTCGAGTTCTTTTAGAGACAAAAAAGTTGCCGACCGAGGGAAACAATAATGTATACATTTGCAAAATGAATGGAAACAATAAACATGTATATAGCGACGAGTAGGTCACAGATGTATTGTAATGAAAATGTGATATGTACATCTGAAAAAGTACGGAAACCGACTTGGAAATTTCAATTACAATACAGGTGTCGGTTGTAAAGAGTAGAACACAAAAATTGAACGGAGGCACGTTTCCGTTAAAAAAAACCATAGATACACACGCGCGCTTAAACATATCAACCTAGTTTCAATAACAAATACATACAAATATACCAATTCTTGTGCACGTGTAGCCAATCATACGAATATCGTCATGATGTTTTTGAAATCTCCAACTTGGTATATTGCTAAAAGTTTATCTATTTTTGCCATCTTCGTGTTAATCTACGTACTTTCCACACAGTCGCAGTTTATCGATAAATTTTTAATTTAAAACAATAAATTTTCAAAAAAAACATTTCCTTAAATATTCTATTCTGCCGAAAGTTCGATGGCGATTGAATAATACGCTGTACAGCATTGCACGCACACAAAACGTGCATATTTTAAGTTCATCAATAGCTTTTCGACCAAATTTTAATAATTCGAATGATACTAGTTTGCATTTTATTATTCCACAGATTCCTATAAAATTTGAACAGTAACCACAGTACACCGTAGCACAATAATTATAGTTGAATGTTAAAATAATATTTTACCGGAGAAAAATTATGCAAAGAGTAAATGGTAAAGGCGAAATCATTCGTATAAATCACTGTATTTACTAAGTACACTAAAAATACAAATTACTGAAGACTTGCTCCCAACTCTGGTGACACAAAAGTCTTCTATAGACAAATTTTAACTCCCTAAATCATTTTCACGTAAAAACCACGTCGAAGAGGTAGGGAAAAGTTATCGTGATAAAAAAAAAGACGTTTGGTCAGCTTAAATATACCAGTTAAGTTCTTTTTGATAGTTTTCCCTATTTCGACTATTGAATACAAAATAAATCTGGTTCTCATTAAGAAAAAAGCTAAATTTAAACCCAATTTTAATATATGCATGGTTAAAAATTATACAAAGAGAAAAACGATGAAATAATAAATTAAAATTATATTATGTCTTTTGCACGTTATTAATATTGCCCACGTTAGTAATATTATTAACATTTGATTATTTATTTTTTTATTTTTAATTCAGCCTTCACTGGTATTTTTAGAACAGTAAAAGGAAATCGAGAATTATTGAAAAACACTTTCGACGTAGACAATTTCAAGTCGTATTGGTTTTTACAAATTACCTAAGAAACAGCAAAAGATAACTCCAATTAGGTTTTGATATAAATGTTGAGGGCTATATTGCGGCGTTTAACAAGTAGAGTTATATATTGCGGTGAATGGAGTATAAATTTTCTTTTGTTCTTTAAAAGCACCGAATCTGTTTATAACGACATTGAATAAAATGATTAATAAACTAATTAGCTAACGCCTCTTAAGTGTGTGGACGGGTATCCATTTACAATTTGCTATTGACCTGACTTGGATAGTATCGTGCGATTTTTAAGTAAATTGCCAAATGTCTCTCGAGCATGTTCGCAATTACTGCAAGACTTTCCCTAAGCTCTAATTGCTGAACTGTTTGTTTTATTTACTAGCGAAATTTCAAATAAACGCAGTAATAATTGATCACTACTACAACATATTGTAACATTAAAAATCCATTAGTTAAATAAACAGATATCATTATAGTTGAAAATAAATTTAAATATCAGCAATTTAGGTACTATTATACTAGTTTCACACGTCTTCACAAAAAATAATATGAACAATATTTTTTGTTATTGTATTCCGGGGCAAATATTTCAAAGACTAAGCCTGAAACGAATAACATAAAATACAATATTACGGACCATTGTGGAGAAGAGTGCAGAGGGATTCAGGTACAATGATTACTATATGGTCGCGGTGGAAACAGTGTCTATGGTTAGGATCCGTCATCAACCGTAGTCACCTCCACCCTCGCACAATACATTATTTTCCAAACCGTTATCGAATTTATACGCGGGACAGTCACAAAAGAACAATAATGGATCACTTTTAAGATTCTTATCGAAAGAAAAGAACCGTGTGCGGATAAAAAAAATCTTGCTGCCGTCCATTTGTGAGTCCCTTTCGCGTTGTACACGTATATACATACACGATAGTATTTATGTACACATTTATACATTGTATGCATTTTTATTTATTATATATAAAATAATACATATATATATTGATGCGTAGGTGTTTGATACGTTGTCGAAAATTCCTGTTTTTACCGTCTCTTTCTTTCTTATCATACGTACACACTATTATGTTTGTATATTATGGTTAGCAATTTCGCACTGACACATTGCCAATGTTTTTTCGCAGAATTTCAATTGGGAGCACAAACCGCCGACGATGACATTTACAAACTGTGATGTAGCGTATGAAGTGTCAAGCAGAAAATAATGTGAGCAGGTGGATTTTTGTGTCATTCACAGACACTTCTTCCTTTTGACCGTCTTTTATACAAACATTATACAAGTTCATAAAACAGAAATGGTAAATATAAGTGTTGCTCGCATCCGATACGCCCTGACAAATCCAAGTCGTTTTACACTACCAAAACATTACACGGCTTTTACTTTTTGCTGTTATTTTTTAAATAATAATTTATTATATTGGTTCATAAACTAGTGGGAAATGTTGAAAATGCTCATGAGGCCTGTACATTCAAATAGCATGTATTATAAGAATAATTCATTTCGATTAATATTACTTTGTGTAAGAAAGTTGGTAAAATTGATTTGTATGTGCCGTACAAAATTTTAATTTAAAAATTCAAATTATGATAAAAATAACCTTTTACTGCTCCACGTGCAGGTTTTTCGCTTGAATCGATTTTAGTGAAAATAATCAATTTTCACATAATACATTGGTTTTGGTTGTTTGTCTATTAGTCACTTTTGTAGATATTAAGAATATGTTTTTATTCAACAACTATTAGAATTATTATTCTGCGTTACCCGTTGATCGTCATAGGTCTTTTATAAAGACTTGGTTAACTATGTAAAATATCGATAATCTGCGATATGTATGACCTAATACTGGGCGATGGGCTAATCACACGAAAAACGAAATGTTTAAAATTGTAAATTTGTATTATCCAGGTAAATTGCGTTAATTTAAAAAAAAAGAAAAATTTTGTGACTGAAGAATTGCGTTCCCGTTTTTTTCTCTTTAATCTGCCAAAAACTAGCCCGTGTTTCCAATTAAGGTTTTTTATTATATTTTTTTACACGTTAATAAAAATATTTCCGTGTTATGAGTTTTTAGCTAACTTGTTTTTTCTCACCAACGTCGACTAATATTATTTACGATCTCAACGTTGCCCTTACAGAAATATAATAATAGAATACAAAACGCATAAAATATTATTGAAACCGTTTTTTTCTTGTCATTATTTTTTTCTACTGTGGGTGGGTATTCATACACATAAATCGTAAGGGGGTTTAGTCGCTAAACTCAAAGAAATAAAGGTAAATCACCGTTGGTACGTTTGTGCAGTAGAATCTTTCACAGCATTGAAATCAGGTGCGCACGGTAAAGGAAGTATTTGGACGTGTCCTGTAAGATTCCTAAACATTTTCCTGTGTTTTTAATAAAAAAAATGTTGGATTACTAAAAAAAAAGTGTGAATATACTACAGATTAAGTTTCCCGAAGAAGCTAATGTTTTTTTTTCTAATCGTTATTTCTCGACACACTGGTAACCATAGTTATGAATAAGGTTAATTAAAAATTGTCTGATTAAATATTAAATTGATAATGCGTTACTAAATTATCATAAAATGTTTTCTTAATTAAAAAAAAAAGGCAATCGACGTTTTTTTTTTTGCATTGGCATTTTTTACATGAATGCAGTATTTGCTAAAGAGCGCGATTTTATCTAAACAAAAGAAAACTAAACAAATTCCGCATCGAAAAAAATGATACAACTGTTAGCTAAACAATCATTAGATTTAGTGAACATAATATATTTTATGTAATTTATTTATACTTTAATAATTATTTTTATAATATTGTATTTGTCGATCATTCACTGCTTTGCACTGGACTAGTTTTAGTTCTATACTTGTTTTGTTTTTTAGTAGGGACATAACTTACGACAAATTTTGATCGATTGTTGTTAATAGTTTTTCCTGGTATATAAAAAACTACCTAGTGTAATCATTTTGTTGAATGACATGTAATTTAAATAATCTCGATATTGACCCAATTTCATAGACAGTATTAAAAAATGCGTAATTTTTAAATGTTTTTCATCATTAAAATACTCGGCAATTAATATTTTTTTTTTGTGTACACTGCACGTGGAAGTTAAAAGTTTATAAAAGAGCCTACCAGAGTCATTGTGCGCCTGTTATTATAAATAGTAATGATTTATTAGAACATTTATTTTATTTTCCCATGTACTATATTGTAGTATTTATCGCGAGTTTTCACCAAAAATATTTAAATAACAACACGTGCCACTCTAGCAATTTTTATTCCTATACAGTCTAGTTTGCTGTACAATTAAATACTATTGGATTTCATCATACATGTTGTTAATATTCAAATTTCCCTGTAGCAGTTTATAGGAAATTAAAATATTTACAGTATCTTGGTATTTCCATTTTAATTAAATCAAATGGGTGAATGCGATTGATCATGGAAATTTCCCGTAAAACAAATACAATTTTAAGAAGCTCTTGGTAAAACCGCCAATTTTTAAATGTGAATATTATTTGTAAACTCAAAAAATAACAAGGAAGGACGTTACGCTATTGAAAAACACACACACACACACAATTTTGTTATTGTCGTAGGATAACATTATTGTCACGAGGATAGATTCGCCGAAGAGAAAAATTAATTTAAAGAATCGTAGATTGGGCTGTGCAAACTACCTCTTTATTTGATTGTAGAGCCTGTTTCATTGATATATCGCATTCCTTTAGCGTGTCAGATAAATTTAATTATATTATTTTTTTTTCTCTGAATCATCAGTAACAAGTTGACTTACACTAAAAGTGTCTCAATAAATAAGATCTTTTATTTATCTTTTGATTCATTCAATGTAAACATCGGGAGCGACCGAGTCATATTTCCGGTGTTGACATTTTTTTCTTTTATTAACATATTACTTTTTTTTTCAGAAAACAGAAGTCATTAGAGTTAATTCTATCGAGAAATCGCACAAAAAGGAAAATTAAATTCCAGGAAAGCAATTAAGCGAATAACGATTGACAATAACTACAATAGACCACACATAAAACAACCGATTGACTTAATTCTTCGAAATGATTAATAAATTTAATATTTACAATTTCGTTTGTTTGTTTTCTAGATAGATTTTCATACATTTTACATTTCAAGTACCATTTAATCCTTCTATTTGCTCTTTATGCGTACAACACTTGTTTTTCAATACTTAAAATGTTATATCAACAAATATTAATAATTCGTGGTTAATTGTTTGTATTGGCTCAAACAGTACACATTATGTAATCCATTTTCCAAATTTAGCCTTTTTATTTGTAATCAACAATTCAACGCGCCTTTAGTACCACTGTAGTCTCTATATCCCTTGCATTGCGAATACGACTCGGATAGTATGTATACATATATTTTTAGATTAATCGCGTAGAGAGAAATGCGAAATCGCTTATTTTGCTTCTCGTGGAAGAGAACTCTTGCTGGTATTGTTAAATTAGATGTCATTAACACGTACTGGTGTTTTTCTCAGAAATGCTTAGTTTAAAATATGTAACTAAGATATTGTAAAACATTTCGTCTACGCTGGCAGTCTTTCGAAATCGCGATATGACAGTAAATTCGCTCTAATCAACTGACAAAAAATATAAAATCCAACTACGTTAACGACAATAAACGAACATACGGCCAATAAACACTCTAAATGGACATTGGCTGTACACGATTGTGTCAATAGAATAATTATCAACTTTTATATAATTGGTACAAAAAAATATCGATCTTAAAAAAGTATGGAAAGAACAACATCTGCCTAGATATCACTTTTTTTAACGTCGTTTTCCAGACATAATTAAATCAATTAATCAGCTTATCGGTCATAAGAATTTTTTTTTTTTTTACGATCTATAGGTTGTTGTGCATTTAAAAACTATCGAGATTAATTTATGTTATTATTGATTTTTGTAAGTTACCGACATTTAATGTTTATTGTTTTTCATATTGAGAATTTAATAATATCATTTCCTGAAATAATTTTGTTCTTCGCTGTAGTGTTTACTTTTTTGGTAAACGGTTTCATTTATTTTTACAGTTTTGCTTAGTAATAATGTAATAATTACATTGAAGTAGTTTTGCTAACTAGAATAAATGTTTCAGGCTTACAGAGTTGATAGGTTAATTTAAAATAATTGTATTTCCAGGGCAACTTAAATAACCCACAAATGGCCTCTCGAAAGATATTTGAACTTAAGGAAACTACTTGTTATTATTATTATTATTTTATCGTACAATTGGATTATCGAAAAGTCTAAAACTTCATATTGTAAATTTTTTTCAGCATTAAATTTTATCTTACATGGTTGGGTAACATGAGAAAAAACACAGTTGATGCATTTAATTAATTAAAAATAATTTATCATGTTTTGCATGAATCAAGAATAATAAATAAATAATTTATTTAAACAATCTAGTAAAATATATACACCATTTAAAACAATATGATAATTTAATTTATTTTTATCTGAGGCTTCAAACATTTATCTAAAGTTTAAAATACTCCTTGCCTATTTAAGACGGGGAAAAGTATATGAATGTTATTTAATAATAAAAATAGTTGTATGTGTTTTTGTTGGTTGTATGATTCTCTTATCTAAGTTATTACTAGCAAAAAAAAAATTTCTATGACTTGGTCGATGTGTTCAAAATAATTTTAATAACTACTTAAATGTTAAATGGTTAATTCTGTGTTTTTAAAAATCGCCTTAAAGCGTTCATTAGTATTGCAATAATTTTTTTACAATACATTTGCTTTCATTCTCTCGGAGAATTAAAATTTTTCTTCATTGCGCATTCGTAGAGATATGAGCGGTTACGGATATGCATTTTTAATTGCATTGATAACAATTAAAGTAANTTCTTCATTGCGCATTCGTAGAGATATGAGCGGTTACGGATATGCATTTTTAATTGCATTGATAATATTTTATAAAAATCACTTATCGTCTAAAGTAATATAAATAATTAAAATTTGATTGAGTAGGTCAAATCAAGGACGAGAATTTTTTTTTTGAGATATTAAAAAGTAATTGACCTTTAAATTCTGTCTCAGAAGATCATAATTTTAACAAATTTTCATTTGGATTTAAATTCCATTTAATAATCTAATATTAACAATATGACATCGACTAAGCTTTAAATAACTTATTTCTATAATATTACACGTATATACAATTAAAATTTAATTGTAGATAACACACTTTTATTACTTAAGTAATATTTTATAGAATTTGCCGCAATGTGACAAACAATTACATTTTAAACATCTCTATATTTTAATTTTCTAAGAAAAACAATGTGTTTTTCATATTAATACTAAATTTGTTTAAATAATGTTAAAAATAATTTTTGACATAGCGTGGGGGTAATTGTAACGGTATAATTATTTAAAAATATTTTTAACGTAATTGTACGTCAAAAACGTATAAAAAAAACTAAAAATGATACAATATTTACACACCGCAGTCATTTAATTGAAATTTTATCTAGAAAACCTATCCGCCTATGATTTAAAGAATATCTGTTGCGAAATCAAAACGCTATTTCTGATGTTATATGAATGTTGTTTGAAACTTGTCGTTGGCTCAGGACCGGACAAGTTTGGGTCAGGTCGAATGTAGAATTGTTGGTGGCCGGCTATTGCCTCACACGCGACGAATGAGTGTTTAAGCCGATGGACGAAAATATGAACTAGTTTTTTAACGATAATAGTAACTCTAATGGGCGCGCTTTTGAAATTCGGTCGTTCAAATAATCTGGAGACGCGATCCACCGCCAAGACGGCCATTACCGTTGTCCGGGACACCAAATGATTGGCGTTGTCCGACGGATTTCCAGATGGCCAACACGAGCGACCGCATTCGCGGAGAGGAGTTACGCGATGATGCGACTGCGGTTGTGCAAGTCGTCCGCGTAAAGCGCTGTAACGGGCGGAAGGCCCGTGCGAAATTCACCGGGTTAAGGTCGATGGGCGTTATCTACAACGGATGGTGGAGGTAATAAAAGCGACGGTCTCGGTGCTTGTAATCGCGGTTCCATAATTACCGTGCCGGAATATACGCTTTGTAACTGGTAGGCGACTTACCGCACCGTCTCTCCCGGCGGCATAGATAAATGATTATATTATCGCGATGACGCAACTATCGCGGCGGTCTTCTGTTCGCGTATAATAACATTATCGTTGTTACCCATACTAGAACACGGCAACTCCCACAAACCGGTCGTTCCGCGTTCCGCCACTCGAATTTTGCATTACAATGCGGTGTGTATTGGTAAACGTGCTCTCTGCCGAAACTCAACACTGCGCTTTACCGCCACCACGGCAGTGACATAATACCGAGCCGTTTCCTGCTCAGATGAGTTTCCTTATAAGACATTGAACGATGGATGTACGTTGGCGTTACTACATTTCGCTCCCACTGCTCGATTGTCGCTGACCCGCTTTTACCGGGTCGGTTGGTTTTTCGCACCGACGCCACAATCCCAGTGCCTGTTTTGCTGTTGTCGTAACCGACTTTTTCCGAATGGGTCTGTGGGTCAATAAGCTGCACTCGGGTGTTATTTAATAACCGCGCGATGACGGAACACACCCGCCGTGGCCCCATTAGAACAGCTGTTTTTTGATATTCCGTTATTGTGTTACAATCGTTGCGTTTACTTGGCGCCATCATTAGAACCGAACAAATCCGCGGAAAAGAAGATAACGCGTTCTGTTAGCATTACAGCTGGTTATTTATGGTTTGATTGATTCTTGGAGATTTTCATTTGTTTCTAGATACAAAGAACACGTCAGTTTTCTTGTAATTCGTTTGAGTGTTATTTCAATTACAGTAACAATGCATTTCTAATTCGGCTTTTTTTTTTTTTTAATGCCATTGCGTTCGTTTCGAGATTTTCGCCAAAACGAATGGCTGTCTATTTGTTTCGTACAACAAACAGTAATAAATACATTTAATGAAATTAATTTGAAACTGATTACTCTCCGATGTGTAAATTCTTATGTTATTAAAAAGAATCGTTTACCATAGGGATACGTTTATTCTTTGTCAGTGGACAGTCATGTGTGATATACCCGTGAGATTGACAACAGCAAGTCATTCGTGAATAAATATGGAAATCCGAGACAATACTCCCCACAGTCGACCGTATCTTTGACGATGAGAAATATTCTAGTTTTTTCTTTTGAGGCTTCGCCGAATAATCTCATTTGATTGATACGTGGTTTAAATACTTGTTTTACAAACTGCGACTTAAAGAAGATACTTCCATATTTAAGGGTTTAAACGAGTCGAATTTGACTGGAAAACAGTCGTTATTTGTATAACACACCGGCAACGTTAGACTCAGATATATTCAAATGGAACTTAACTTGTAATAATATATTATGAACGCCAAAAATCTATCGAGTGAAAATCAAACGTGAATTACTACACCCTAAGAAAAACCTCATTCAATTTTGAAAGAGAAATTTTATCAAGGGTTTATGATAATGTTTTATTAATACGAACAAAATAACTATTCTTATAAATAATTATTGTTCAAGACAAGAAAAAAAAATATCATATTGATAAATATATCATTGATTCAATAGTAATGATATATTTATCAAATTGAACAATGAATTTATTATATAGATCGAGGTTTTTCTCTGGGTGTAATCTGTAATAAATCATACGTTCGTTATTCAGCCGAGGAAAGTACACTCAAGTTTGAGTTTCAGTTGAATTTTACACGATAGATCATTAAAAGTTGAATAAATAATTTGACGTAAGCAAACGAAACAGATGGAAATATTCGTTTAGAAAATTATTTAGCCACTGGTCGACTTCTTGATGTAAGGTATAATTCACAGTTCAAATTAGCAATATTTCGGGTTCATAATACATTGTAGGTTGGGTTTTTTAAATGTTTTAATTATCAATGCCTAGAATTTAATTGGGATAGTTCACTAAAAGAGCTCTCTTTAATGGAATTTAATTGACACCGAGTTGTAGTTAAAATTGGTTCTTGAATTTTGTTAATGTTTGTATTAACAAGTTAATGAACTTTGAAGAAGTTGTTGAAATCGTTGAACTGGTCAATAAAATCAAATGTAAAAATATAGTCGATTTCCAAGTGCAATATAAAAATTCTCTTAACTCAC